TGGACAGTGGCTTTGCGAATTCAACCATTTTGTATGGGTATAATAATAACTGCTGATTTTCACCACGAACGAACTGCGCCAGCCGATACAATGTGAGCCAAAAGATCCAGACCCTCGGACGAAAGCTTGTGAGCATGTTGGTAGTCTCGAAAGGGAATACGAAGGTGGGTTGTGGGCTGCTGCCAGTTGTTTGTTTTTCATCTTTGAAGTTCGTTGTCGTCATTTGGTTAGTTGCTTATCGCTGAGCTTTGTTTTAATTATTGACTGGTGCTTATTGTTGCAATGATTATCTGCTGTTGATTGTTTAAACAAAAACTTTCAACTGTTCGAAGGCGTAATGAGTTTTATTCTCCAATAAATAAGAGGTGCAACTGCAAATTCTGAGGGAAAATTTGAAGGTAGTGATTAGCGAATTGATTCAGCTAAGTACTGTTTTTGCGGAAACTAAAGCCATTATTTCCGTTTTCGATTAGCGGCACTTCTAGAGAAAAATTCTCGCTGTTTTCTGCGCCAGCAGCGTTACTAGCGGATTACTTTTCGCACAACAAAAATAACTTTTTAGCAAATTAGCGATTAGCAGACCTACTTTTTTTTCGGTAGCGTACTCACAATCAATGCTGGATCAGACCAAAAATGTGAGCACACTCCTCATGTACGAATTAAAGTTATCTGACTTTTTTACAGGAAGCTCCTTTCAAATGTCGTTCAAAACGCTGTGGTCATGTGAACATAACCGTTCAGAGACAGCAAAATTCACCAAGATAAAAAGTCTCTGTTTAGCTAGTACGAGAAGGGAGGTTCTTCGGAAATGATAATATTGCAGGATATCAACCGCTTGGTGATTCGTAAAGGTATTTCTCTGTTACATTTTCGATATTGTAATGTTCGGATATGAATAAATCAACAACGTTGGATGCAAGTTTTGTTGAAGATGAAGCGATTGTAACATTGAAGCATTCATAGTAATTTCTTCTGAAGTTGCTCTTCTGAGCGCCCATTCGAATAACTGCGTTATTCCTCTTTGATGTCATCAATGTCTACCTGATCGATTCTCGTTTATTTCTCGTCAAGCTCGTTTATTTCAACATGCTTTATCCCGCCTCTCCGCAAGTCTCATCCTGCTTAATTCCCGTTCAGGCACTTCTCTCTTGTGTTTGATAAGAGGTTCTCCTTACACTCGATTGTGTTTTGACACATATCAGCTATTGAATAGGTTGGCAGATTACAAGCGCTGAATACATGCCGATCTAATTCTCATGAAGTCATATCAGTCGCGAATCAAATCGTTTAGAAGTCATCAGCGTTAGCGTGATTATATGTTCTGATTTTGATGAAGTAATGATCGTTATAAACGACTTCAAATTGTTGACTGAAAAAATTTGAAAATCTATTTGATGTAAACAACAACTCGAGGTGAGATAAACGATTGTCAATGCTGGCTGATAACAGCTGTTCTCCGAAATTTCTTGATTGATTCAATCGAGATTACGTATTTGTTTGCGTTCTAACGATTTTGATTTGTGTTCGCATTTTATCATGGCTCTGAAAGATGGATCACATCTAACGATATTTCATTTCATTTTTATTCATCCCTTCAATAACTAAAATACTCCTCATCTCATGTTACAATAGAAATATTCAGTCGGAGCCCAGCCTGTTTTAGAAATCGATTCTGAATCCATCGAGGTGGCCTTTGATCCTGTCTGTTAGATCAATTTGATTATCGAATTTTTATTGTTTTCCCATTATATTGAGCAATGAAATTATTGATGTCGGATTGATTTTTGGAAAATACTTTTGACTCATGAACCGGTTATGATAGAAATTAAATCTAGCTACATATTCCTGAATAATAGTTGAAAATTCAATTTCATATGGCGATGAGTACGCGATTCATCGTATTGATAGCGTTGGCTATATCGTATGTCACATCAAAACCAGCAACCACTGCGACAAGGCAAACTTCGCAACCCGATATTGGTGACGTTTCTAGTCATATTGGGCAATCTTCAGCTATCCTGTTGGAATACATTCGTGAAAACGTCTATAGTTAGATTACAATCCACTTAATTTCTAAAATATGAATAACAGCTTTTGATAGATCCCGAATAGACGAAGTTCTAATCCATATAGTTTATATTTCAAAATCATACTTGATTAGACGACTCAAAATTCGCGCATGCGTTATTGCAACAGATTTTCAGAATCAATTCCGAACGAAGTTCGAAAGTTCTATGGTAGTTTGAACGCTGAAGAGAAGGGTGCTCTACGAGAATATGCAAAAGAGTTGAAAGAAGGCCAAACTAATTTCTCATTAGCTGACAACGTTATTGGTGGCATAAAGGTGATCATTCCAGACATTCTCTATATTCCAATAGAAAATGCTTGAAATTTGTGGTTCGAATCGTCTTTGGGGAATTATTGTCTGTATGGCAACTATTTCCATTTCGATCCATGGTCATTGTACATAAGTTCAGTTGCTACGTTCTCTTTGAATAATCATCCGTATTGTATTCAGTGAGTCATTTCACCTGATTGCAAGATCTTTTGAGTGGAGAATTCATTTCCACGAGAAAGTTTCGCTAACCATCGAACAGTCATCGTGACAAATATTTTCTTCAACAGAAGTAGTTGCATTTCAGAGCGGTAGTGAAGAACTGACGACTAAACTTGGTCTATTCCGTGATTTAATCAACTCAAAACTCGAAGGTCTTTCGCCAGATGGCAAAGCATTCGTCGAACAAGTACGTGTGAAATTTTGCAGCCTCACGTTATTCAGTTGCTCTGTTTACTCAATGTAGTTGATGATTTAGATTGATCAAGAATACTAAAATCCGTGCATCACATCCCAAAATACATACCTTGTGACTATCTTTGAAATTTAAAACCCACTTCTTGGGCTAACCATTAACTTCTGGATTAAAGAGGCATTTGGATTATTGTAAAAAGGTGAATGCTCATATAATTCAAAATATTTTCACCGGATATTGCTTCAGATGATACGAAAATTGATAATAATGGTTGGTGAATCTAACGGAATTATGGATATTCTGATGGGCATGAAAAACTTCGGTAGGGATGTTTTGAAAATGTTTGATTCACTCTCTGAAAAGACCCGAGATGAATTGCTTCAAGGATTTCCAACAATTGGAGCAATTGCGACCAGTAAGTTGTTTCGTTTGTAAAAGTTCGTTGTTTGAGTGTAGTTTCGATTGGATTAGTTATTAGTTATTCTAAATATGTAGTTTCGATTAAATTAGTTATTTTCACGTTTTTGCATTCCATGGATCTATTATGAAAAGAAAACCAGTAAATAACGATCTACCAACCTCCTCAATTTCCCTCTTAAATCCCTCAAATTCTACTTCAGAAGGGAATAATCCTCTTTGTGAGAAACGCTGCACTAGGCGTTCACTAATTCGGTCAGCTACATTCAGCTGATATAATTTGATTTTAAAAGCTACATTCAACTGATTATTCACAGTACTGTGAATATTTGGAGAGAAATGTGATACTCGTTGGCAAATTACTTTCACAATTCTGGCGCTAGATAAAATTTATGTACTTCTGAGTGCGCTTACGATTGAAGTAAGAATAAGATGTTCTCGACTATTTTTTGTGAACAATGAATACTTCTTTCAATTTAACAGTGAATCTTTTCGAATAAATCAGAAATACGCAGTCTGAATCCTTTCATCCTCCCCTCCAAGTCAATTAGTGTCAATTCGTTCTCCTTGAATTCCCTGAAGAATGATGCGATATGATCAGAGAGGAGAGTGCAGGAAATCAGATTGAATAATCTTTAAAACAAACATATCTATCTCATCACGGATTCAAATTTTGCTCAACTAAACTCCTAACTGCGCAACACGATATGGCACATAACAGTTGCTGCGGTCATTATGAGTCAAGAAATTTATGAGAATAAAATTTGCACGAATATTTTCATCGTAAATTTCAGTGAGTTATTGCACAACAGTCAGCTTGAAAATACTTTCAAGGCGCCCGTACTGATTTATCTTTGTCGCGAATTTTCACTTACCTGCATTACATAAAGCATTACATTAATACATTGGTTATAATATTGGATAATCCCAACGTTTCATGTTTGAGGTGATATCGCCCGTGTGATATTGAACAAATTAGCTGATTATTCGCCGGCAAGTGGAGCTGATGTGACCATGTCACCGTCGCGTGATATTGATGACAAACCAGTAAAAAAGGTATCGCATACGCCAACAACCCCTCCATCCGATACACCAATCCATTCATCCATATATCCTTCTGTCCAACCAAACAAGGACCCGCAAGATATGGCTGGTGAGGATGAGGTGGTAATGCTAAAAGTGGATACGTGATTCAATCGATGATTTACACTTTCTCGTCAATATTGTGATGGATCGCACATAAGATTCGTTGCCGTTGATCCGATTCAATAAATATTATGATAGAAACAATTCTATTGAAGCATCAATTTCCACATCACACGATATCAATATACAAAACCTCGACTCAATTCAACTTTAAACAAATAATCTCGTTTCCTTCAACTTTTATCTTATTGTTGCCATGCTAAACTTTCGAAATTCCTTTCTTAGGCATCAGTGCTCATTACCGATCTAAATGAATTGGATAATCTCTAGTTTTAATGCATCCTTAATGCACGACGAACATGCTCACACTCTAATTCAATAACTGTTTTTATACAAGTAATCTAAGGTGATGCATAAAGTTACGTTCATTCAGCTGCAGACAACTGTGATGAACCGTTGAAAATAGCTGTAATCTACTAAACTCTCTAATTTTCATGCAGTGGATATGAACCTAAATTTGAATGCAATATTCTAGCTACTATTTGTATGAAAGTAATGAATCAATCCCATTCTATACTTATTTATTGTATTACATTGTTTCGGACTTTGCTTGTCAGTAACTTCGCTCGTATTAAATTTGTCTTGAAATTTTTTCGCATCAGAAGAGGATTATCGCCGTTTCAACTGCACTTGGAAACAATACCAGGAAATGTAGTGAACTAATAACTGAAAGTCAACGATCAAAACATGAGCTGTATAACACAAAATGATAATATTCCAGTTGGAAGCTTCTTGAACAGTCTCTAGAGCATCTCGTTAGCGAAGACATCTTGATTGCATCAAAAAGCCATGTCATTCGTTTCAAACTGAGAGAGGCTTACTTCTCCAATTGGCGAGGCTAAAAAAACGTCAATTTATTGAAACCATAAATTCAATCACAGGATTTCGCATTAAAGTTCCACTAACAAAAGCATCCGCATATTTTTTCAGTGATAATTTATTACAAACTATTAGAGGACTGTTCAAATGAAATTTATTTGAGCTGATTACATTGAAATGATATCGTTAGCAAAAAATCAAATCTTGAGAATTTGGATGTTTTTGCAGAGTTTAGGTGGCACTTCAAGATTTCAAAATGAGAAACTCATTTCGATAGTGAGTTTCGGGATGAATTCAAAGATATGTGCACTTATTCGAGATGATTCATGAGATGCGTTCGTTAAGTGATCACTTAAATAATAGATGTGCTCAGTATCGGAATGGTCAAATGCTTTTAACTTTTATTACAAAAATAATTGTTTCATCGATTTCATTTCAAAAAGTTTGCAGTTTCGAGTCGGCAACATAAAAGAGGGTTTTATATTATGTTCGAATGGGATCCATAATTTTTGTTGAACGTTCCACCAAGCTCAAAGTGAATCCACTGTTGAACAGATGCGATTTTCAGATTTATAATCCTCCTCTTAACGCTAGATCATCGCCATCAGCCTTACGAACGGATATAAATATTTTAATGATTCGATCTGCAAAACATTCATCAGATGGCCTTCATTTCTCCTCGATGTATTCTTTTGAGAATGTTCTATCAGCGTTCCGTTGATAAAGTTCCCTTCGTTGAGTCCTCACCTCATTATAGAGTTTCTTCATTTCTATCCGTCACTGGAAAGGAATGACCGTCGTTGATTACGAATTCAGTTTGTTTAATAGGCATTTATGTACATTGAATAAATCTATCTTGTGTGCATCTCTTTTACTTGTCTTTTTTTGTAAGTTTCGCTATAATTTTATTTTTATTTCGCTATAATTTGTTTTGAATTTGTAATACGCATTACGCAAATCATTCATTGAATATTTCACTTGTAAACGACTTATAGTTAGAAAGTTGAATTTTCCGTGGCATCGTTACCATCTTTTCTTGCTTGGATTTGCGCTTATGTCCATGGATGTAAGTTGATTATAAGCGACTTTCATCGTAACAAATCGCTTGGTTGTAGAGAAGATTTGTTGCTTTGACAGTGATCAATTCAAAGAACACCAATTCCATCAGTGCGATTGCATAGAACCCTCCAAAATAACAGTTCACCAAATGAATACCAATCACATCAAACAAAAACGCTTCAAAATTTTATTGCAAACGCGTCAAAATTCGACTAAGAACGAAGAGTAACTGAACGAATGTTAATTGCAGAGAATCGGGTCAAGCAATGCGGGTAGCATTCCAACTGCTGATTATAAGCTTATCAATATGCGTGGTGACGCCTGCTAAACCGATACGATCAGATCTCACCTCTCTTGCTATTGAGTTACTTGGTAACTGAACATATTTTCTTGATCGCTATTGCATAACCGATATGATCAGATCTGTGATTATAAGCTTGAAATGGTTGCTGTTGCATAAACTCAAAATTTTTTCAGTGAATAAATTCGCAATTCAGTGCAATATTGATAGCTTCTGAATGAATTTTTTGTTTCAGAGTTTGTTCCGTCGAGTTTTCTGACATTCTTCGGCGATATGAATGACACCGACAGAAGTGCACTACTTGAATTGTCGAAAAATATCTCGAATCATCGTCTAACGGCTGATAACGAAAAACATTTCTTAGATGAGCTGAAGGTAATTGCTATTTCAAGGAGTCTAATAAGCATCTGAGGCGTTGATGATTTGGGAATGACCCCAAAAATGCAATGCAGCTTTCACTCCTTTATACACAGCAAATTCATGCATTGATTCGAATTGACTCATTGCGCATGCAAAAATGAAATGGTTGATACTTTTGGTAGCGGTTGATAGTGTATACGTTCTTGTTTATTCAACCAGAAGAAAATTTCTGATTCAAGAGACAATCAAAATTCTCAAACTTTGGCGAAAATTGTCATTACAAATCGAAAATTATCACGAGAGAGATGTATCCCTCAGTTCACCTTACGGGAAGCAGTCCATGAGTGATGGATCGTTTGATCAGTTGTTCCTGATTAATTTTCTGAAATCATCTCCTAAAAACTAATAATTTTAAGATTAAAAGTGA